ATACATTAATTTGAATTTCATAATTCACCTATTAAAGATATTGCTATATCTCTAAATGATCAATATATTGTTAGTACTTGTACAAATGGATATGTATATTGCTATAATTTAGCAGAACTTAATAATAATGTTGTTAGAGAATAAAAACACTAAGAATAAGGAATTTTTAATTCTATCTAATATGATGAATATTTTATTGGAAGTACAAATGAGAAATTAATGGTGATTTTTGATAAAAATTTCAAATTAATTACTGAATTTCATGTAACTGATTGTTATTTAACTAAATTATTAATGACTGATTAACATATTATTGCAGGTACTTCTAAAGGAAGTGTAAGAATATATCCAATTAGAGATGAAGATAATTTAGAATTAGAATTAATTAATTAAAAAAATGAAACAATGTATAAAATACCTGAATGTTTTGAAATTTCAGTTCATGCAACTGCTATTACTTGTATTGATTATGATGGTTAATATATATTTACAGGATGTGAAGATGGATCAGTTTGTTTATTGAAATCTAGAAGTGAAATTTCAGAAGAAAGATAAAGGATGGCTGCAGTTTCAAATGATCTTTATTTAGAAGTCATATTTAAGATTTAAAAAGAAAATGATAGAATATAATCAAAGAATTTTGAAGTTATTAAATCTGAATAAACTGTAAGAATTGAGACAGCAAAATTAGAGACTTAATTTAAATAGAAAATTGATTAAATGACTAAGAAATTTTAATAAACTATGTCTGATGATAAGAATTTAAAAGATAAATTTGTAGAGAAATCAGAATAGGATTATGATTAATTATATAGTTAATATATGGAAGAGAAAGTTAAATATGAAAATGAAATTAATAAACTTAAATAATAACATATTGAGAAAATTGAATATGAAGAATCTAGAAATTAAGAAATTGAAGATGAAATAAAAAAAGTATAAGAAGTACATAAAGATGATTTATAATCTTTATTAGAATAACATAAATATGAATTAAAATAAATGAAATTATAATTCTATGAAAAATGTAGAAAAGTCTAAGTAAAATATTCTAGTGTTGTTGACAATGCTAAAAATTATGGAACTGCTTTTATTTAAAGATTAGAAAAAGAAGAGGCTGAATATGAAAAAGAAATTGATGAATAAATAAAAGATTTAGAAAATTAAATTGCAAAAGTTATTTAAGATAATGAAAAATTAGAAAAAGAAAATAGAGAATTAGCATCTTAATTTGAATAATTAAAAAAAGATGATGATGATTTATAAATTTAATTTAATGAATTATTTGATGAACATAATAAAATTAGACTTGAAAATTTAAAAAATGATGATGATATTTTAAAAATGTAACATTAATTACTTGAAAGATTATAAGTTATTGATTCAAAAGAAGAAACATGTAAAGCTGCTAAAGATGAATAAATTAATTTAGAAAATTTCAGATATATGTTAGATTAGAAAATTAAAAGTCTTTAAAATGATAAATAATTATTACTTGATAAAATTACTGATAAAGAAGTAATATATATTTAATTAATTTTTTATAGTATAAATTAAGAGTTATGTTTAAAGAATTGATTGATGAATCAAATAAAAATGAAATGAAATATTAATAATTAGTTTAATTAAGAGGTTAATTAGAAGTAATTGAAACATAAATTAAAAAAACTGAAATTTAAATCTTCTTAAATGCTAATAAATTAAAAAATTATGAAAGTGTAAGAAAACTCATTTATTCATAATTAGACTTTATTATCCATCATGAAGAGCAATGATCCTCCTAGTTTAATAGCTTAGAAATTGAGACAAATCATTAATGATAAAGGTGAAGAGAATGAAGAAATTGAACAATTATCATAAAAAAAATCCATTTCCAATAAAGATATTAAGGATATTATCAAATTGAAATAAGATAAACCAAATGAATTAAATGAAGAATTATTAAGATAAGGTTAGTGGATGACTAAGAAATTATACCTTATCAAAGTAACATCAGATAAATTAAAAAAAATAAGAGATGATAATATTAATACTATTTTCAATTAAAATACAAAACTTATTGAAGAATGTAATATGCTCAGAAGTGAAAATGATAGATATTCTAAAAAGATTAAACATGTTGAAAAATTAGTAAAAGATGCAGACAGATTATTATAAAGATTAAAACCTAAGTTGAATAAATAACCTAAATTAAATCAAATAGAAAAATAAATTGAAGAATAGAAATAAAAAGTTCAAAATCAGAAAACAAAACTTTCTAATTTAAAGGATTCCATGAGTTAAATCTTAAAAAAGTCAGTTGTAGATTGATATTATTCAATATAATAATTATTAATATTAATTAATTAATTTATTATATTAATTTTGTTCACCAATATATTTATAAATTGTAGAAATAATCAATTATTTATCCATTTCTCTTATATCTTTATAGATTGATTTTTAATATATATTCAATTTTCATTTTAATAGTTTATGAATGTCATTTTAAGCTGTTTAAGTGTATATATACCATAATTTGATTTTAATAATTAGAAAAAAATTCATTTACCATAATAAAAAAATACATGTTGACGCATTATAAATTTAATGACAATCACGTATTTATATACTAAACATTAGATTGAAGTATTTTAAGAATTAAATAAGTTCTTTTTTCTTTTGAATGTCATTAATCATTCGTAATATTTCCAGTCTAAGAGAAGAATGGAAATAATTAGCTAAAAAGAAGATAAAGAAAAATAAAAGGAAGAATTAATATACATTACCTTATTCTTTTGATAACTCTAAAAACAATAACACTAATAAAACTGATTATCTTCTCATAGTTAAGAATATTCCAAATACAATACCTAATAATAATGTTTTTAGACTAAAAACAAATATTTAGTTCTCTATGAGCATCAATAAAGAGTATTCAATGGGTTCACTCTCTATTGATCCTCATTCAAATAATTATAAAGTTGTCAGAACTGATAAAAGAAAAAACCTTACAATTCTAACATTAGATTAGATAAATAGACCTATAACACCATCTGATGTGTTATTTTAAATATTTAAAAGTAGAAATGAATTATTAGCAGAAGCATTTTAGATGTTTGATTAAAGAAATCTTGATCCTTCTAAATTTAAATTAAATAAAATCTAAGAAATGATTGAATTTGAGTCAACTATCACAAATTTTCCATATGCATGTTATGTATAAATATATGAAAATGGTATGTGGAGAACATTTTAAAAGATATTTAATCAGAAAATGCTCTAAGTACTAGCTATTTCTGAAGAAATGCTTATAAATTACTGTAATGAAACAAAATTAATTCCAATAAGTGCTTTTTTTGATCCATCAGACCAACAACTCTAGGTATTTTATAAAATCTTCTCTGGGATTGTAGTATAAAATGCATCTAAAAGAGATTACATAAATTATAATGGGGAAAGATTCACAGCTGCTTTGAAAATAAAGAGTTTTTTTATTATGGATGAAGATAAGGGTTAATTATTTGAATATACATATTGCATAACTGATTGTGAAGATAGATGGATTTCTGAGGAAAGAGTTAGAATGAATGAATTAGAGTATTTTAATATCAAGCCTTGTAATTCTTCAACAGATGAATCATCATATGTAGAATAATAAAAAAGATGTGGATTTAAATAACTCAAATGATATTTTAAGCAGTTGTTTATAAAATATTAATTATTTATTTTCAATACAAATTAAATTTAATTTATTGTCTAATATAAAAATAATCTCTTTAATTATTTTCCATTAAATGAAAATATTTTATTTTCAATAACCTTTAATTTTTTGTTAATATTTTCAGAATGAAATAAAATTAAGTTTAAAAGGAATTTGTAACCATTTTATAAAGCTTTATAAATCAATAACATGAATTAACTAATAAATTCTCATAATTATTATTAAGATATAAATAATAAGAATCATTAGTAATTTTCTCTAAAATATCAAATGAACTTGTATAATAAATGAAATTGTCTTTAAATTAATAATAAAATTTTTAATATTAATAAGATGATAATGATCTTAATCATAAACTTAAATATAAGTATGAATGTGAATATTGTGGCAAAGGATATATACATAAATTACCAATGAAAAAACATTTAAAAAATGTTCACTCAGATTTTAAAAAAGCAAATAAATTAGATATTTATGATGATACTAAAAGAAAATAATTTACAGCAAGAGAATTAATGAAGAAAATCAATTTAGATGATGGATTTGATAATGATAGTTAAATAATTACTAGCAATAAATTATCTCAAAATGAAATTAGGTTAAAATTATTATAAACTCTTTAAGTATTGGATAAACATGAAGTAGATTAAAATGTGATAAATGAATCTGATAATGATTAATTATAAGTAATTTTATTGGATGATAATTGAATTTTATAAATTTTATAATAATTCATTAATCATCATTAGCTTCTTCTTCAGGATTATTCCATAAAGTCAAATTATCTCTTAATAATTGCATTATGAGAGTACAATCTTTATAATTCTCTTCATTTACAGTATCAACCTAAGCTATAGCTTATTCAAATGCATCATTGGCTATTCTAATAGCTTCAGTTGCATTTTATAAAATTTCATAATAAAATACTGATTGATTAAGATGTAAACCCAATCTAATAGGAGATGTAGTTGATAAATTAGATTTGGCCAATATATCTGCTTCTCTAAATTGAAATAAATAATGAAATACTTGTAAGCTTATGTTGCCTATTCAACAGCACCATGATATTCATTGTCTAATAAGAATTCTGCCAAATATCTATTATAATCTCCCTTCATTTTTAAATAAAAGACTTTGCTATCAACTTATTTTGCATTTGGATAAAGAGTAGTATCAATTAAATTTAGTATTTCAGCACATGAATTTTTGAGTTCACCTTCAATTTTATGTTTATAATTTCTGATATAATTTAGAGTGTATTAGTCAGTTTGTTTTCTTGATTCTTTTTATTCAATGGCAGTGAGTACTCTCAATTCTGCTCTTTTATTACCTACCTACAAATTTCAATATGCAATTTGATGGATACCACATTTTTATAAGCAGCAGATAATATGCTTCTTTCTTCTTTATTTAATTCTTAATCCAAGAAATGCTTAATAAATTCAATCATATCATTAAATCGTTCTGTTTATTAAGCAATACGAGCTAAGAATAAAAATTCTTCTCTACTAAATTTATTCATTATTAATTTAATATATTCATTATTATATAAGTATCATATAATCATAGTTGAATATAATTATAATAACAATCACACCTTATAAATGATCCTATATAACCTTCTTTAATTAATAAAGGAATTTATTAAAAATATTAAAGTATTTTAAATCTTTAATACAGAAATAAACTTTGTTAATTATTATCATACACACGAAGTTATTATATTAGATAGAGTAATTTAAACATATAGGAAATTTATGAAATACAATACTTTTATTTATTTATTGAATTAATATATAAAATAATTAAATATAGTTAGATAAATTATAATTATGATAAAATATATATTTTCTATTTATTAGTTTTCAAGAAAAGTTCCATCTTAGCTTGCCAAATAAGTTTATATGTAGAAGTTAAGAGAAGATGATGAATTTAAATAATTACTTAAGAAAGATTAACAAACATCTCTTAAACAAATATAAGGAGATAACTATATGCCTGAACCTAAAAGAGGAGATTCAAGATTGCCAAGAGTTAAAGATAATCTAAAAGAAACAAATACACATATAACTGAATAGAAAAGAGTAAAAATAATTACAATACGATAAGCTAGATTCAGCATTAAAATCTCTATAAGTTAAAGATGAGGATTCAAAAGCTGTAATTAAGAATGCATTGAAAGAAGAGTTCTTTCTAATGAAAAAGTTATCTGAAGAAAATGCTAAAATTGAAGAAGAGATGAAAGTTAAGAAGAGAAAGAAAGAATTGAAAGATATATTTAAATAAATTGAAGAGATGGATATATAACCTGATGATTAAAATGCAGAAGTATATAAATGTATTAATTATAATAGTAAATTCCTTATTTTAATAAATTATCTATGGAAGAGAAATATGAAAGAATTGCTGATTGGAATAAAAGATATGATGTTTTAGGTAAAGTGGATCCTTATCTTTTGTAAAGAGCAAGAACTAGTCAAAATATAGAAAATTTTATATAAACTAATTTTGAAGAAAATTAAAAATATTTTGATTAGGTTAAAATAAAAGGAGGTGTATCTATTGGTGAGATTTTAACAAATAGAGCTTGTACAGTTGTTTGGATTTATATTAATTTCTTAGAAAAATTGGATAAAAAAGAATAAAATGAATATTTAGAGAAATTAAATAAGAATTCTAAATAATTGAGTTGGAAGATGTGTTAAGATTTAGGATTAAAATATGGACCAGATATTAGATTTAGTTTGAGTAGAAGAGAAGAGAAGGAAAATGAAATTAAAAAGGAAATGGATGAAAATGCTAAGGAATTAGTTAAATAAGACTTGATTGAAAAATATTAAGCAGGTGAAATACCTAGAAAGATTAAAAAATCTAAATTTAATGAAATAGTTTAAGAATTAAAAGATAAGAAAATTTATCTCACTGGAAAGATATCAAATTCTGAAATACCATCATCTAAAAGTAAGGCTGATGAAAAAGAAATCCATAATAAGAAAAGTAATTAAAATTAAAAATCATCTGCTGAAAAGTTTTGGGACTAACTCTGAGTTTAAAATGAATGATTATATAACAATTTATTTAATGTTGAAATATGTTGTTTATATTTAAATTAATATTAAGGAAATGAATTATGATTATATAGGGGCCATTAAAATTAAAGATGGACTATTTTTAGGAGATTAATTTGCTGCCTAGGTATTCTATAATGGTTAGATTAGGATCTTGAATTTATTGTTACTAATAAAGTTTCAAGAATTATTAACTGTGCATCTAAATAAATACCAAATCACTGGGAATCTATTGGAATTATTTATATGTCATTTCCATGGATGGATAATGATTAATAAGTAAGAAACCATTAATAAATCATTAGGTTATTTTATAATAGGATGAAATAATAAATAATATAATGAAATTTGTAGATGATGCATTAAATAATGGAGAAAGTGTTATTATTTTATCAGTTAAAGGTCATAACCGATCAGTAGCAACCTTATGTGTTTATTTTATGAAGAAATATAGATGGACTCTTTATAAAACTCTTTAATATATGCATAATAGAAGACCAGATTTAGAAATCAGAGCTCATTTCTTTAATTAGTTATTATCAATTGAAACAAGATTATAAAAATAAGGATATGGTGCAAAGACTTATAATTGGGATGAAATTTATACATAAGGTGAAAATGATGAAATTGTACTTAGAAATACATACTTAAATTCTTAAGCATAAGGAGTAGCTGAATTTAAGGATCATGATCCAAAACCAAAGGAATCTAAGTTTATTATCAATTATATTATATATTAGATTAAAATTTGCTGAAAAAGTTTCTATGTATATACCACCTTATGATAAAGTTGTATTCTCTAAAACACGATCTTTAATTTAAAATGCAAAACCAATTATAAAATTATCAGGTTCATCAAAATAAATTGATCCATCATTTTAATAATCAACTTAAAAATAATAATCTATCAATATCTAGGATTAATCCAATTAACAACCTCAAAAAGATTCACAAAAATAATCTCTTTAATAAATATAGCCTCCTTAATCTTAAGGTACTCAACAATAAAGGTTAACCAAAAGTGATAGTGTTAAATCTGGATAAGTACTTGATAATAATGTTGTTTGTATATATTTTATTATATTCTATAGAACCATAAAGAATTTAAATGAATAATTTCATGGACTCAAGAGAATAATTTCTATAGAAGACTCAATAATAAAATGGACCTCGTAGACCCTAAACTGCTCCTAATTAACTCAAAGCTCCAAGAGTTTAAACAACTCCTTATAAAAGAAATACAAGTTCAGGTCAAAGATAAGAAGCTGGATAATAACCAAATTCTTAATTTAAACCTATGAGATAAAGAGCATAATCTCCAAATTCTGCATATAATTCCTAAAATCCATATGTTCAAAGATAATTTAAAGCCAAAGCATGGAAAAAATGAAGCTCTATTTAATCTATTTTTGTTTTGCTTATTTATTAAATTTTGAGAAGTTATTATATCTAAAACATATTAAAAATCTCTCACATCATTTAATTAATGTTAATACTATTTTATTTGAAATGAATTTATCTAGATTTTACTCTCATCAGAATAAATTAAATCCAATCAAGTCAAAACGTAAATCTTTATAAAAGAATACATCTTATACTCCATAAAAACATAGATCTGTTACTTACAACAATAATGATGATCTTTTGAAACTAATCATTAATAATGATAACTTACTAGAAATAATTGAAAAAATATAGAAGTAACGATAAGTTTAGAGGTTAGTTCAAGAGGCTAATTCTAATTCCATTTTGCCTTCCATTTCAAAAAATGAAAAAAATAATTAGAATTTGTATCCAAAATAGGATAGAAAACATAAGAGAGAAAGTATTCAATATACATTTTAAATGAATCCAAAAAACATTCCATATTATTAAGAGAACAAAATTTATGGAAAATTTATAGAACCTACTGAATATAAAAAAATAGATTATGAATCTATCAAAACTATGTATTTATATTTAATCATTGGATTTTAGAGAAATTGCTTTGTCTAAATAATTATAAGAAGAATTTGAATTATAAAATTAATTAAATTAAAACAAAGAAAGACCCTTACATGAATATTAATAATAATAATAAATGTAATCAATTGAAATACAATATGATAAACATAAAAATTATCAATCATAAGTGACTTTAGATTCTGATGATTGTGATAAAATCTTTAATAAATAAACAAAAATAAACCAAACAGTCTCAAATATATTTAAACTGAGATAATAAAATCAAGAATAAAATAATCTAACAAAAATGACTATGGAATTTTAAATGAAAGAGGAATTTCAAAAATATTTAGATGCTAAATAATGTAATTAATGTATATAGAATATGGCTATCAATTAAAATTAATATGTTAAGATGCCAAAAAATAAGAAGATTTTAAGAAAATGAAATTCAACTTTGATTTTTTTGAATAATATCCCTATTTCTTAATAATAATTCAATATCATTTATTAAAATTAATTACTTTACAGCACCTATGATATTTTCAAATTTTGAATATAATATATTTAATTATACTATTACATAATTTATCATATCTTTTTAACTTATTAATTATCTAAAATCTTGATGTCTCTAGATATTTTTTTATTAATCCACAAAGCAGAGGTTGTGAATTAATTTCTCAAACTTTTATCCAAAATACTATCATCTAACTGAATTTATCTGTTGAAAATCTTTAGAGACACAAATTTTAAAGGTAGAATTAATTTTCAAGTGAGATATATATGGATCATACTTTGATGATAAATACAATTATAATGATTCTAAACAAATTTTTTTATTTAAATATGTAAGAGTATAAGATATAATTAAATTATATTTTAGATTTTGAGGTATTTTATTACAGATTAATTAGTAATTAATAATTAAAGCGTATCATAAAATCTCTTATTGCTTTTGTTTAAGTTTAATTCTTTAATGTATCCTGTATATTTGAAAAGGTCAGTACAGTTGAATTATTCAATTCTTTAATTTCCTTTTAATTTAACAATCCAAATAGAAATATGAATATACCACTGATATTATAAACCTTCAAACCTATTGGATGCTATTTTTTCTAATTATTACATCTTCGAATAATTAATTGAAGCATTTATTAGGTTCTATCATTTACATCCATCCATGATTCTCCTATAAATCATTATTTTGTTTGGCAATGCCAAACTTTATATCCACTAAATACTCAATTATTATTATATTATATGATTCCTACAGTTTAAATCAACATAAGCAGGGTGGCGAAGTGGAATCGCGTTGGGCTCATAACTCAAAGGTCGGTGGATCGAAACCACTCTCTGCTATATTTTTTATTTTTTTCAAAGATAATTGTATAAATTAATCAATAATATAAATATAATTATTAATTAAATATATATATTTAAAAATATATTTTAATTATTCAAAAAGCATTTAGTAATTCATTAATTGTGTTTTGCTTTTGAATTTTCAATTAATTAATTTATCCTTATTTTTTATCTAAAATTATATTGAGAATTTAAATAATACATTAATAATTTAACAAATTTGAATCACTTATTTAATAAAATACAAACCAATTTTAACAAAACTTTTTAAATATAAATTTTTTACAATAAATATATCGACAAAAATAAATTTAATAAAATGAAAAGATATTTAAATATTCTTAATATTTCTAAAATCTGAAAACAGATAATATTTTAAAATTTAATCCTTATACTCTTTTAATAATTGTAATTTATTAACTAAATAAGAACCAATTATAAAATACTACTTTATATATTGAAATAAATTTATATGATTTTTCTAATATAAATTAATTTTTATTTCTATAGTATACTAATCTGAGAACTTTAATGTGCTTCATAATGTATCAAAGAAATATGTTTATGATTGAAAAAAATACCTTTTATCTAATTAATAAATAAGTTAAGTAATTCTATATTTAGAATTAAGATTTGGAATTATTATTTTTTATAAATTTGTTATATATAAACTTAAGTTAGATCAACATTCCTTCATCTTCCCTTTGATATTAGAATCTTCATCCAATAGGGAATTAGATGATTATTTAGGAGTTTCATATTTATCATCTTGGGTTTCAAAAAGATCAAGATTCTTTATTCCTGAAAATTTCTTAACCTAATTATATGATAAAGGAGATCCGTTATCCAATTATGTGATGATTGCATCAAATTCAATTTTATTTTACACTCTTAAGTTGATAAAATTTCTATTCATTTATTTGTAATGAATTATTTAAAATATTGTTCTTAAAATAACATTATATTTATACATAATAAACTAAAATTAAAATAATTTAAAAATGATGTGAATATCTTATATTGTAATTATTTTGACAATAAATAAGTAATTTAAACTAAATTGAATAAAATCAAGTATTGGTTATGATTTATTAAATATAAAATACAGAAATATAATCAAATAAATTATACTTTATTTCTTGTATATATTTTCTAATTAAAAAAGCATTATCGATGATTCTTTTAATTTTACCAATCGTATTTTTCTTTCGATATTAAACAAATTTTTGAAATATTTTATTATTCATAATTTAGAAAATAATTTAAAAATAAATGTTTTTTAAGAATTTTTGACTATAAATAAACATTTCAATTAAAGATAACTAGGTTCTTATTTTAACTTTAATTATTTACATATTTGATAAATCTAATTATTAAAATAAATACTTTATGATTGTTAATGTTATTATATCTCTTTTTTTAAATTCTTCGATTAAAATTTAATAATTTATTAAAAAAAATCAAAAATGTCTGATTTATCTTTAAAGATAACATATATTATAATTTTTATTAATAATAATCATTATGAAATGAATAATACAAAATATTTAGTAATCATAAAATAAATCTGGAAAATCATCTCATTATTTCGATAAATGTTCCTTAAAATGAACCTTTATAATTCCAACCCCTTAGTGAATTTATAAATCATCATTCATTTCATCATCCAAATCATCAAAATCAGAAAATTTGATTGAATTAATTGGATTAATTTTTTCTTTATTTTCAAGATCATCAAAATCTCTGAATTCTCTATTTTGAAATAATGGTCCTTGAAATTTAGATTCAAATGGTTATTTAATTAATGAAGATTCTCTGGAATAAGATTATTTAGAATTTTATCGAGATCTCTAAAAATTTCTAATATTATTTTTTGATACTATCGATGGAGCATAATTAAGAATCACTGAAGATTATTAAGAATTTTGATCTATTTAATATGATTTACGTCTTTCACTCTTTTTTAAATCTGATATTTTGAGATAATCACTTTATAAATTGGATATATCAATATCATTAAATGATTATTAAGCTTAATCTGAAGATTTAGTAGAACTAGTTTAATTATCCATCCAATCAAATTTTCTATCAAAACTTATATTGTTCTGTTTAGCTATTTTTTAAAATAAATCTAATAAATATTTATAGTCTGGTGTAGATGTGAATTTTAATTTGTAAACATAGTCTAAATATCTTTAAAATTCACTAGGTAATCCTTTACATAAATCTTTTAATTCTAATTCCATTTTGAATTTGCCAACTAACTTAATTTTCTCTTTATCTGATTATGATACGATATTCTACCATGGTACATTTCCTATATTTNAATAAACATTTCAATTAAAGATAACTAGGTTCTTATTTTAACTTTAATTATTTACATATTTGATAAATCTAATTATTAAAATAAATACTTTATGATTGTTAATGTTATTATATCTCTTTTTTTAAATTCTTCGATTAAAATTTAATAATTTATTAAAAAAAATCAAAAATGTCTGATTTATCTTTAAAGATAACATATATTATAATTTTTATTAATAATAATCATTATGAAATGAATAATACAAAATATTTAGTAATCATAAAATAAATCTGGAAAATCATCTCATTATTTCGATAAATGTTCCTTAAAATGAACCTTTATAATTCCAACCCCTTAGTGAATTTATAAATCATCATTCATTTCATCATCCAAATCATCAAAATCAGAAAATTTGATTGAATTAATTGGATTAATTTTTTCTTTATTTTCAAGATCATCAAAATCTCTGAATTCTCTATTTTGAAATAATGGTCCTTGAAATTTAGATTCAAATGGTTATTTAATTAATGAAGATTCTCTGGAATAAGATTATTTAGAATTTTATCGAGATCTCTAAAAATTTCTAATATTATTTTTTGATACTATCGATGGAGCATAATTAAGAATCACTGAAGATTATTAAGAATTTTGATCTATTTAATATGATTTACGTCTTTCACTCTTTTTTAAATCTGATATTTTGAGATAATCACTTTATAAATTGGATATATCAATATCATTAAATGATTATTAAGCTTAATCTGAAGATTTAGTAGAACTAGTTTAATTATCCATCCAATCAAATTTTCTATCAAAACTTATATTGTTCTGTTTAGCTATTTTTTAAAATAAATCTAATAAATATTTATAGTCTGGTGTAGATGTGAATTTTAATTTGTAAACATAGTCTAAATATCTTTAAAATTCACTAGGTAATCCTTTACATAAATCTTTTAATTCTAATTCCATTTTGAATTTGCCAACTAACTTAATTTTCTCTTTATCTGATTATGATACGATATTCTACCATGGTACATTTCCTATATTTATATTTAATCATTTACCTCTTAATAAATAAATGAAAACGTATCCTAAACTTTCTAAATCATCCTTTCTTGATAATTCATATCCTTTATGAGCAGAAATACTTGCATATCTAGTTGTACCTATAAATGGCCTATTTTCTTAAAATTAACTAGATTAAATAAATAATCATTAATACATATGCTAATTGTTATTACGAAATTTTTTAGAGATACCAAAATCAACAATATAAACTTATTAAGAATCATTTCCTCTTCCCATTAATATATTTTCTGGTTTTATATCCCTATGAATAACACCCCTTAATAATATTTTGATTTGATACCTTTTATGAATCTCTTCAAGAATTGTTAATAATTATTCAGCTAAGTTACACACTGTTTTTAGTGACAGTTTCTTAAATTTCTTTTAAAAATGAGCTAAGTCTCTTCCAAGTAATTGCATAGCCATACAATTTTAGTTATACTCATTTCCATACCAATATAACTTAGGAACACCTTAAAGTAATATTTAATTAATGTACCTGTTATTCCTCTAAGTTCTTCAATAATTTAAATTTCACGTTCTAAACTCATTAAATCTTTATTTTCTTTCTCCACTTTTATAGCAACATAATCCCTTGTTACTTTATCATGACAAATATAAACTACTCCAAAAGAACCTAAAAGGATTATTCACGTATTACCTTAACTTAATTTTTCTCTCTGGACAAATCTGCCATAATAAATCCTGCCTTTGTCCTGATGCATAGATTTTAATAAACAATAAATATATTAAATTTTCTTGAAGTTATTATTTAGAAGATTTAATGAGCAAATTTTTAATCAAGAAATTTAGAGATTGTCAAGAGAACATTAAATTAATATTTTTTCATATTATTTTAATAATGTCTTTTCAACATTTATAAATTGGCTCTCATTATTATTTCGTTGACTAACTCTCAATTTACTATATTTTTGGTTCATTATTTTCAGTAACATAACTTTTTATAAGATGTTATAAATTTTATTATTTATTATAGAATTAATCTTCAATTATTAGTTAATATTAATATTTTATAAATATAATATAGCTTCAAAAATAACGTCATACAAGTTTATTAGTTAAAATAGGATCAATATTTTCTTTTTATTTAGCCTTTTTTAAGCCATCTAATTCTGTTTTAACAACCATTAATTATTCTTAACTAATATGATATTGTTTATTAATTGATAAGAATTTATTTTTCCAAATATCAATCTCTTCTAAATATTTTTTATGATTTTCTTCACATGATCTAGAAGTTTAATTTTCTAATTCTGTTAGTTTCTATTTTAGAATTTTATTTAATCTTTCTACTTCCATAACTAAAGTGACATTCTTCTTTTCAAGATCTCTAATAATTAATTTTTATTCATTTTTAATTTATTTATTACAATTACAATCTTTTTACATACTTAATTCTCTTATCATTAAATCTTTTTATCTAAAAATTACATAATATAAATAGTTTACTCTATAATTATTTACAATTTCTAGATTTAAGCTTTTTATTCATTTTAAACAGATGATTTAATCATTTAAGATAGTTATACATCTTATTTTTATAATTAATCTAGATAATAGGTTTCAATGGCTTATTTCTCTTTTATTGCACTTTATTTTTCTTCTTTAAGATTTTAACAAATAACATTAGTTTAATTCAATTATTATTATAAAATTGCAATCTATTAATTCAACTATTTAGCTATTTATATTTAACTTTCTAATTCAATTTTTAAACTTTTAATTTATTATTAATGTTCTTCAGTTGTAGAGACTATTTAATTTTTATCTTATAATGATTTGTTTTCTTAACTCAATAATTAGATTTAATTTTGATAAGAATCTATTAATTATTAATTATTTTCAATTTCTTATTCTTTTTCTTTTTTATAAAATATGAATTCCTTTTAAACTAATTCAAATTTATTTTCTAATATTTAAATAAATTCATTTGCATTTTATTATTAATTATTTTATTATATATGTTCTCTCTATTTTTATATTTCTTCTTAATATCTCTTTATCTCATTTTATTAAAATCTTTAAAATTAAATAATTATTTTTACTTAATTTCTTTTTCTAATAAATATTCTTTTTCATTTCTCATTTCCTTCTCAAGATTATTCTTTTTCTAAATTTACTCTATACTCTCTTATAATACAATTATCTGTTATTTTTATGTATTATAATTATCTTATAAATAATTAAACTATTCCTCTAATCTCTAAACTTATTGTTAATATATTAATGAATCCTTTCTCTCAATTTAAAGTTTGAATTCTAAATTCTCTATAACTTATTATTATTATTTATTTCTCAATCTCTATTCATTCAACTCTACACAAATTTAACTCTACTAATCTAATCTATAAAATTCAATATGTTTACCTTTTGCTTCCAATAATTCAGTTTCATAAACTTTTAACTTCTACCTCTATAAATCTCTATCTAATTCCCTGTTTATTTATCTTAAAGGCTCTTCCATTGTATTTGCAAATGAAATAGCCCTTGTCTATGGAGATGGCTTGTTGTGTGTATAAAGTTTTTCTTAACTCTATCTAAGAGATCTTGAAGGTTTATACATAGTTTTTTATCAGTTAAATTAAATATTATAAAATTTATCCATCTTTTTTTTAACCAAAATAATCAATTCAAGTTAATAGAATCATCTTAATAAATTTAGTAACTTATTATTAAACTCCTGAATAGATTATTTCATCGTTTCATTTTTCAAATATTATAATATAATCCAAATTTTTATTTATTTATTTACAGTAAGGAATATTGTTTAAAGACTTTTCTGAATATCTTTTAGGATTTAATAAAGAAGAAATAAATACCACGATAAATTTAAAAGAATTGGAAAATGTATATGATCAATATAAATATAAAGTTAATTGGTGGTAGAATATTATGGAAATTCATCAGCAATTACGACTTTGGTTAAGTGATTGTTAATTAATAAGATAAGAATATTGATTACATATTATGAATACTACATTTTAATTATCAATAAAATGAATGAAATTTTAAGTCAACAATCTTTAAGATATTAGGGAAGCAAAAATTAATTTGGGTTAATAGAAATAGAATAAATATTGAAATACAAAATTTTTAATTATTAAGGATCTTTTTATCAAAATAATAATGTAATTTTAAAGTATTATATTAATAAGGAATTTTAGGTTTTTTTAAGGATTAGGAATTGAAATGATCTATTAAATTACAAATTCTTAGTTGAGATATTGTTATTTTAAATGTACTTTAAGAAATAGATATTTATTCAAATTTTGTATGCTTTATTAGTTGGAATGGTTATTGATGTATTTAATGATATACTAAAACAGATTACCAAATTAAGAACTTATATATTAAATCTTGACTTCAAAAGATATCAATTTGGATTTTTAGGAGATATATAAATAATTTCTAAATTAATTTGGATTAAGATTATTAATTTTAATAATGATTTTTGAATACAATGTCCAAATGTTGAGAATATTACAGAAAATGTATAGTTAAAGATATATATTTTTTGTTTGGAAGAATAAGAACTTTAGATTATACTAGAAGATAGTATATACTAACAGTTGATACTTAACAAATAGGATATATAACATATAAAATAAATATATAATTTATAATTTCTATGGATTTGCAAAAGTTATCTAAGTTTTTGAAAAATGAAAAATCAATCGTGTAATATTTGAATGATACTTCCATCGAAATCAAAGATGTTTGCAAATTTAATTTTGGTTAAAGTAATCCAACTTATTAACTCTCTTTTAAGTATTTATGATCTAATATAAAAACAAGAAACTCAGACAAAAAGTTAGTTCTAAGAAAGAAACCTGATGGATAATTACTTCCTGGAGTAAAATATTTATTTATTAAATAGGCCCATCAAATAGAGAGAGAATATGAAATTACTTTAAAGTTATCTTAAGTTTCTTTTCCTGTTGCTAAACCACTTGTCTTTTGCAAAGATAGTAGTATAATTGGAACTCCATTCTATGTTATGGAGTTTGTAGAAGGCAGAATATTCAAGGATATCAAATTATAAGAATTAAGTAATTAAGAAAAATAATAAATCCTAAATGAATAAGCTAGAGTCTTGGCATAATTACACTCTATAGATATACATAAATTAAAATTAGATCATCTAGGAAAGTCTGAGAATTATTATTAACGATAGATTGCTACATGGAGTAGACAATATAAATTGGCAGAAACAAATAATATACAAAGTATGGAAAATCTTCTCTATTGGTTACCATTAAATATACCTTAAAAGAATGAAAATGACATTATATGTTTATGTCATGGAGATTATGCTTTGAATAATATCATATTCCATCCTACTAAACCTTAAATTTTGGCTGTAATTGATTGGGAATTAGCTACAATAGGTTAGTCATTTGCAGATATTGCTTATATGACTCAATTTTATTTTACAAGCTAATTCTAAAGTACAGCTCATTAAGGAGGAGTCAAAGGAATCTATGAATATCTTGGATTACCAAAATATTAAGATTTATTAAATGTTTATTTTAAATCTAGGAATATTAATCAATCTATAGATCTTAGATATCATACAGCATTTTCAATGTTTAGATTATCATCAATAGCATAAGGAGTTTACAAAAGAGCTTTGTAAGGAAATGCTTCATAAAAAGAATAAGGATTGGAATTATTAAAACTATGTAAATAACTATCTTATGATGCTTGGGAATTAATAAACTAATCGACTGATAATGATCCTTTCAAATTGAAAGATTTAATCAAAAATGACATTCCAAGATGGGGTAGTTGGCCAGTATCTGACAGAGCAAAACATCTTTATTATAGAGTTAGAGACTTTTTGAAGATAGAATTCTTTCCTTATGAAAAATAATTAATTCATGAAGCAGAATCTAGACCACCTGAAACTAGATGGAAACCATTATAAAAACTTCATGAAATTAAACTCAAAGCTAGAGAATAGGGTCTTTGGAACTTATTTTGTACTTATCCTGTTGTTGGAAAAGGTTTAACTAATTTAGAATATAGTTTTATTTGTGAATTAATGGGAACGAGTGTTTTTGCTCCTGAAGTATTTAATTGTTCAGCACCTGATACTGGTAATATGGAATTGTTAATTCTATATGCAAATTAAGAATAAAAAATGAAATATTTATTACCTTTATTATAAGGAGAAATTCGATCATGTTTTGCTATGACTGAACCATAGGTTGCATCATCTGATGCTACTAATATATAAACATCAATTACTAAAACTGAAAATGGATATAAAATTAATGGTAAAAAATGGTATATATCTGGGGCTGGAGATGAAAGATGTAAATTTGCAATTGTTATGGGTAAAACATCATAAGATACTTCAAAACCTCATTAATAATAATCAATGATTTTAGTTGATTTACCTCATCCAAATGTAAAAATAACTAGACCTATGCATGTTTTCTTTACAGATGAGGCTCCTCATGGTCATATGGAAATGGTATTTGATAATGTTGAAGTTCCTAAATCAAATCTTATATGGTAAGAAGGAAAAGGATTTGAAATGGCATAAGGAAGATTAGGTGGTGGAAGATTACATCATTGTATGAGACTTATTGGAATGACTGAAAGAGTATTAGATTTAATGATGTAAAGAGGAGAAAGGAGAATTATATTTAAATAAAAAATGAAAGATGTTGGTTCATTCTAATAAAAATTAGGAGAATTATAAACACAATTATCTGCATGTAGATTAGTTGTATTGAATGCAGCTATGCAAATAGATATCTTAGGTAATAGAAGTAGATATATCTTTAAAATATTGAGTGAATGTAAAGCCTTTGTTCCTAAAGTCACATAAAATATTATTGATGAAGTCATTTAAATATTTGGAGCTGAAGGTGTTAGTCAAGATTAAGTTTTATCTTTGGCTTTTATTTAAGCCAGAACTTTAAGAATAGCAGATGGACCTGATGAAGTACATTATAGATAAGTGGCCAGATTAGCTTATTCTTTATAATCAAAGAATGAGTTATTATAAGCTGATGGATATGGATTACCAACCTTATCTAAATTATGACATTTCTTAGAAAATGAATAACATATAAAATATAACAAATCAAAAGAATTCTTTTTATTATTATATTGATTTAGACAATTCTTTACATTTTGATATTACTGTATTTCCATATGATTATTAATTCATTCCTTATTATTATATAGTATATATTCTTTAACGAACTGATGATTTTTCATATTATTATAATTTAGTAACATAATTATCTGCCATTTTCTTTAAGTCCTATATATATATAATATAATTTACATTAAATACATCTTTGTAAATCTATTTTCCATCTTTGTCATCTAATTAATCTGTACTCATTAACATGGATGGTTATTTTTAGATATATTTCATATCTTATATTAATTTATCAGATATCATCTTTTTCTATTATTGATCTTTAAATGATTTAATATTTTTCAATTTTGAATTTGCTTTTTAAACTTCCATATAATATAAGGATTTGGCTTCAATTAAATTAAATATTGCCATTTTTGTTTATTAGTTTATTTCTTTTTTATGTTCTCTTGAACTCTTAGATCTTAACATTGATCTTTCAGTTTTCAATTATCTCTATTCATCACTATTTATAGAAATATTAGTCTCCATATCTTTACTAAGTTCATTATAGGAATAAAAAGACTCTTTCCTTAAAGAACCTTAGATTTATGAATCCAAATATTTCATTGATTCTCTATCTGATTTAATATAAGAAAAGCTTTCTTTTTTAATATTTTTCTTTGGAAATATTAATTATTTTAGATTTGTATTAGGAGATGAAGATTAATTTTAAGATGGTTTCAAATTAATATTAATTGTTGTATCATAATATTAAGATATTGGTTAAGTTTACTACATAGTAGGACTATTTTATCGTTTATCCTTTTTATTTAATATAATAGAACATCTCTTATTAGTTTAAATAAATTAATATTTGGTTCTAAAATATGCTTAATTATTGAGTTCCTATATTTGATATTTCTTATAGAAATGTTCATCTATATAATTAGGTTTTTCTTCTGCTTTAATTTCTGGAATTTCATACATAAATGACATTATTTTTTATATCTCTCCTTATTCTTAAAGATAAATTTATAATTTATAATTGTGCTGTTTAATATAATCTTTCAATAATTTAGATTATTCTCCATTATTTTAATTATGTTTGTTTAGATAATACAATAATTTTAATAGTTCCTAATACTTTGACAAATTATCAGAATATAGATAAGAGAGGCAAAGTAAAAAAAATATATGAAATAGCATAATCATCTAAATTCAATTTTAACTTAATTACTTATCTAATAGCATATTTTTTGACTTCATCTTTTGGCAAACTTTTTTCAATTTTATAATTTATTATTTAATTTATATTTTTTTGAATTTTAACTAAACCATTTTCAAATTCAATGCTAGCTAATTAATAACTTTTGAATATAATTAAATAATTACTTTTAATTTTATAATAACATATTTCCCATAATTATATCAGTCCATAGATCTCTTGAAGAATATTACCAAATCTAATAAAAGATAAAATGAATAAAAACATACATTAAACTTAAATCCATTTAATTATTCTAACACCTATTTTGAAGCATTACAATAAAAATATGATAAATGATATGATTCTTCTTTATGAAACTTTATGCTCATATTCTATGTATACTTCAGCAATTCATATAAATAAAATTGAATCATTTTAATGTCTGGAATTAAATAATATTATAAATTACTTGGCTTTTTATGCTTAAATTATGATCTTATCAAATCATACCATTATTATAAGAATTACTTTGTCTTACTGATTACAATAAGTGCAGTTTTTTTATAAAAAGACACATTTCTATAAAGGTAACTCTCTAAAATTTTGTTTAAAGAATAAACTTATCTTCTCAAAATTTCCATTTCTTATGATTTATTAAGAATAACATTGTTATTTTTAAATCTCTCTAATAATTATATATTCTTTCTAGGACAACCCTATAAATAATTGTGAAGCTGATAACCTTTCTAATTAATTTTGTGGATTCTTTTATATAGTTTTCATTTAACATATTATAATATAAATATTAGTATTAACTTCTAGAATCTAAAGTACTAAATAATCATTACTAATATTCAAACATTAATAATATAAATATCATAATTTGTATTTAACTTAGAAATACTACATATTTTCAATGTTATAATAATAGTGGAACAATTGTAATTACTTTGATTGAATTAGAAAATATTAATAATTATTGCTTACAATAAACAAATACTACTAAGAGAATTGAATTCTATATAATATTTTATAGTATATTGAATTATATCAGCAAATAAATAATTGAATAAAATAGAAGAATCAGATAGAAATTAGAATCTGATAATCCATTTTATTAGAATTATAGTGTCGATCAATTGCATAGTAATCAATAGAAAAGCTAATTTATCTTAGTATATGTTCTGTGATTTAATTCTGTAGGATTCTAATGAATAATGTAACAAATTATATAAATTGATGTTAAAGTAGGCTATCCTCTATAAATGAGAAATATGCATATATTTATTTTTTCTGATTCCAGTTTTTAACTTATTAAATAATTATTTAAATCCTATTGATGATTACTTTAATTTTTTGTTTTGGTTATAAATAATTTTATAAAATAATTGATGTAACCTTACTATGATAAAGACACTGATGATGAATGTAAATTTAATAAAAATCCTATCTTAGTTTCTGATAATACTTCACTTGAAGGAATGAATTATAGACCACAAACAGCTCCACCAAGTCCAATTACAGAACTTGAAGAATTCAAAAGGTTTTTGATCCAATCATATTATAGATAACGCGAATTTTATATTTTGGAAAAAGCATAACATTACTAAAATTAATTAATTTAAAGAGATTTACATAAATATGATCTAGATAATCCTGAAGGTTAACGAAGTTGTAAAAAATACTTAAAAACATTGGAGGAAATGTGTATAGTATTTATATACTTTAAATATTCTTTTTAGATTTATTAAGTGAAAACTTTATCAAGAGAATACAGAAATTCATTTTCAAAGGCTTATAAGATATTATATAAGGAGGATAGATTATGTTATCTTACTGAAATATTAGATAGTGCATAAGAAGGTTTATTTAAAAAAATATATATAGGCTTTCCTTACTTATGGGTTAATTCTGAAAAATTTGTTTTTTCATCTGATGTACTAAATAAAGGATCTAAGTTAATAGAATAATTTTATAAAGTTTAACATTTTATTAGACTTTCATATTCTAGAACACTTAAAGAAAGTCCTGATTTTTCATCGAAATTATTAAAATAAGATATTATAAGGATATTAGAAGATTTTGATAAGATTTGGGTTGATTTCGAAAGAGTATTAATTTAAATATATATTTATAGCTTTATGTTAAAGAATTGATGGACATAGAAGCAAAAGCCAGAAGATTTATACTTTTAGCAATAGAAATTGATAAAGAAATGACATCTATAGAAATAAGAGAAAAATTAAGAGGTAAAATACTTGTAACTAGTGAAAACTATATTTAAAAAAAAGAACAAGTATTATTTCAATTTAAAATTATAAGTTTTGTAAAGTTATTGCATAAATCAATTCAGTAGCAAATGTAGAAGGTAAAGGAAGAGATGATTTAGGAATTAATATTCTTTTGGAAGCAGAAGGTATCACAAGAAGAGTAACAAAAGAGTAATCTAGTGCTGTTCGTAATCTAGCTGATAGTATTAAATCAAAGTAAATTTAAATTTCAAATTAGTTTTTAAAAATTTCGAGAATAAATGAGGAAATATGAAGGAAATATTGAAATGGTTGATCCTTAATTAAAAAATAACTAAGAATTAGTAGATTTATTAGTTGAATATGAATCTTAATGGGAAAAAGGATTATATTATTTATTAGATCCTATAAAATGTTAATAATTAATGTACTTTTCACATATAATTGAAACTACTTCAGAAAAATATAACTAATTTAAAGAATAATTAGAATGTAGAGATTCTGATATATTTGTAACAATTCCTTGTTTGATTGCTTTAAAATATTTAGAAAATGAGGATAGAAATATTTGTACTTATTTCTTACCAAAATTAAAAGAGGAAACTTCGAAATTATATCAATAATATGTTCAATTAAAAAATGAATTTTTAGAATGGAGAAATTTACATACAAAATAATATGAATATTATAATATTTTGGAAAAATAATTATTGGGAATACCTTTAAATGAGAAAGAATAAATTGCACTAAAAAATTTCAAATTAGATAATATTATGTAAAAAATTCGATAAATGTCTATTGAATTATAAAGATATAATGCAATAGAATGGAATTACTTTATTGATGCAGCTATCAACAATAATTGATAATTTTTAAATTTATATATTTAATTATGTTAAGTACAATCTCTTTCTTTATTATAAATTTAATAACAATTATTAATAGCATAAAATAGATAAATTAAACCGTTGAAGTAATTACATAAATATTAACTCAAAATTTGATTAAACAAAAAATAAATAAAGATTTTAAATGAAATATCTTAGTAAATTAATAGTAAAATCTATATTTTAATTAAAAATAAAATAGTTTATATCATATATTTTCTATTATAATTAAATGTAATTCTTTTGATAAATCCTTCTATTAAATATATTTTAATATTTATAGTTTTTAAATTCAAGATATATTTATAAATACATAAATTATAGCTTTTAGAGAGTATATTGATCTTGTTATTTATATTAATTAATTTTTTATTAAATTTTTAGAAACAAATAATGGTATAATTTTAAGTAATAAAATATAGAACAATGAAGATGAAATGGAAAAATAGGCTAGATTAATGGCAGAGAAATATAAAGATGGACCTAAAAAGAAGGGAGCTTTGGTGAAGAAAACATAAGAAGTATTTTCTTTTAAATAAATTATTTTTAGAGAACTTAATTTGATTCAGCAACTCATGAAATGTAAAAATAGGCATAATAGCATCCTCCGAAATGACAATTTGATAAGTATTAAAATATTATCTAATAAATAAACTCACTTATTGTTTAAGTTTGTCTCATCTATCTGAATCCCATAAAATTATCTTATTTGATATCAATCTGATAATCTTTAAAGACATATTGAGTTATTATCATTATAATAGGTCAAAGCTTACTAAATATTATATTTAAATTAGAATTGCCAATATTATTAGATATTCAAATCAATTATTATTTTGATAATAAGATAAAGCATACAAATAAATTATTAATAGTGCTTATGAAAGTAAAAATATTTTTAGGAGAATATACATATGTATATCGTGGAAGTATAGATTTAAGAGAAATTAATGAATTTGTTAAAACATTGACAAATAGAGCATTCATAATAAAATGGAAGGATCAGGAAGATGATTTAATTACTATATCTATGAAGTAGGATTTAGTATATTTCTATTAATAATGGACTCAAAATTAATCTACAAATTAATAATCATTCAAACTATTTGTTCATGAGATGCCTTTAATATTTCAGAATCCTTAAACTACATAATTATAATCATAATCACAAATATAATCTAAATTATATAGTCCTTGTTAAAGATAATCATATAGTAAGTAAAACTAAGGAATAAGTTAATTTACTTTTGGTTTATAATTAAATGAATAAGCAAAGAGTCAGGAATTTCAAAAAGAACGACATTCACAATAGATAAATTTATAATAAATAGTTGAAATATAGGGTTCTTCTAAAAATATTAGCAATTAAAATTTAGATAAAATACAATAATAGAATTATATGAATGAAGATGGAAAAAGATAGAGAGTTTTATAAGATTTTAATAATATTAATTCATAAGATTTATTGTTTTTTATGAATATGGATATGAAATAAAGTATAAATAAAAAGGAATTTACTGAAATTTAAATGGCAACTGATGATGATGATGATGATAATGAGATTATTGATAATAATAAAGATAATGATATGTAGATAATTGATTGTAAAAATATCTATTGTGATTATTGTTCTGATTAAATATAATGCAATGATGAGTTAACTATAATATATACATGTTAATTTTGCGAAGATTTTCATGCTTGTAAATAATGTTTTGATCAATATTAAGAATAAGTTCATATACATCAATTAAAAGAAAATATTCTTCAATGATTATTTTGTAATTTGTTTTAACAACTATTTAATTATCACACTATCATCTACTTGACCAAGGGGAAATCAAAGAAAAATCATTTTTTGAATTATTTTCACTTCTGAATTCTAATTTCTAATCAAAAAACATTCTTGATTTTCCAAAGTTCAAACTTTTTATATTAAGTTTTGGAACACTCTTTATTGAACGTGCAGTTGATATTCTTGATTTTTCATAGCTTTTTAGAGGTCTTTGATATTACAACTAATTTGATAATGAAACAGTGATTATAGATGGTATATGAATAGTTTATTTTGGACTTAATAATGTATACTTAGATTCATTACAGATTTTTCTTGGCATAAAACATATCTTCTTTTATCTTTATTAGATATATTATTTTGCTCTTATGATAATATCTGAATCCAATTTAGAAGGAGGCTTAAAATTTGGAAATAGCTTATCATATTAGGATTTCATAAATATTTATATATTTATTTTTATGAGTTCCATCCCTTCATTAAGTTTTTCTATAGTATAATATTAAAAACTATTAGTCTGTTATATTGAAATAAATTTAGATATTAAATCAATAATTGATGGAGAGTATTTAAGATCTTAAAACTTTGATGTATAACTATTTACTTATATTTCAAGTGGTCATAATTTTAATGCTGTCAATTTTAGTAAATATATGATAAACAATGATTTTTCAGATATTGATTAATTAATTAAGCATTGTAAATTAGAGAGTACTGGACAAAGATTCAATATCTGGAGACTATTTTTAAGGTAAATAAAATATTATAAACTTAGAATATATTCAAAAGAAGATTCATTTACATAAAAAATAGAAAAGTTAACTAAACTAAGAGAAAATTATAAAGTATTAGAAAATAAGCATTTGAAAACTTCAAGTACATCAACATAAATTCCAATTGAAGAACAAACTAAAAAGGGACCATTAGGAGGTCCTCTTGGAGGTCCATTAGGAGGTAGTAAATAAAAATAATAATCATCTAATGCAATTGATAATGTAGAATTGAGAAATGAAATCAGAAAAGATGTTGAAAGAACATATCAAGAATTTGAATTCTTCTCTTCAAAAAGGGTTTAATAAATACTTACAACAGTATTATTTATTTGGTGTAAAGAGAATAGTGAGATATCATATAGATAAGGAATGAATGAAATTGCTGCTTCTTTAATATATATATACACTAAAGAGGCATTATATAAGGAAGAAGTTGAAAAATATGAAGAAGTAAATATCATCAAAATTAATAGGCAACTGAAGAAGAAATTAATATTCTTTTATAATTTAATTCTTGGGAATATGCTGAATCAGATATTTATATCTTATTCACAGCCTTAATGAATGATGGTTAACATATGGAAATGTTTCGACCTAATTATACAGAATAATAAAAAATTAAACTTTAAAGTAAGAAGCCAAGTGCTATTCTAACAAGAGTTGCAAAATTATAAGATATTCTATTAAAGTAAGTGGATTTGCCTTTGTTTCGACATCTAAAACTTCTTCAAGTTGAATTCTAAATATTTTTATTAAAATGGATAAGGTATATAATATAGCCATATTTATTAGATGTATGTTTACTAGAGAATTATCATTAATAGAATCATTTTCAGCATGGGATGCAATTTTTTAGGATTTTTTATTATAATAAAGTGATTCATTATTCTTTATAGATTGTATAGCTATTGCTATGATAATATACTTAAAAAATTAATGTAACTTAATATAATAATATTTAGTAATGGAGTGTGAAGAATCTAGTTAATGTTATCAAAGATTTTTAAAATTCCCAAAAATATCTAATCTTTCTAGTTTATTAGATACAGCAACATAAATAAGAACTATATTGATATCTCAAAAATCATCTAATAATTTGGATGACAATATTGAAGGAACAGAAAAATTAGAAAAATTAATAAATCCTGCATTTTTTGTTTGTGATAATGTATATTCAAATATTTAAAATTAACAAGATAAAAATAAAAGTTAAGAATAACTTAAATAATCCTAAATAAAATCTTAATAAATTATTACAAAAACTGAAGAAGAATAATCTTAATCACCATAATCATAAATTAATGAAAAATAACCAATTAAATAATAAGAATCATAATAAGTATTCTTTGATGAAAAGATAATGTAATCAAATACAAAGGCTTAAAAATCATAGTTTAATGTTGAAGAAAAAGTTTAATAAAAAGAATCAAATTAAAATAATGAATAAAAATAAATGGAAATAAGATTATCAATAAAGAAAGTTTAAGACATATGTGTTACAATAGAGGAAACCTTTAATGTGATTAAAAAAAGCAATAATAGGTATATTTTGATGTTCTAATTAATTTAGTTAAAATCATTAAGAATTAATAATTAGTTTGGCTGAAATTAAATAATATTTAAACAAATAAATAGATGAAGTTGAAGAAAAATAAGGAAATTAATAAGATGTTGGTTAAAAAAATAATCATAGTGGTTTTGTAATAAAAAAATCAATTACAGGATAATAATAATTACCATAAGAAGATAATGGACTTAAAAGCAAGATGGCAGGTTTCTTTAAGAAGAAATGGTGAAAAATGATTAATTAAAATTATTAAGTTTTTTTTTAGTATAATTTTAGAAAAAGTGGAAAATTAGCTAGTTTATATTTTTCATAATAAAAAATTTTGTTTTTGTTGTTATTTTAGCAATTTAAATTCAGATAAATTATTATTAAAAATATAGAAATATCTAAAAATTGAGTTATTTGATATGCTTATAACAATTATGAAAATATTAAGATTTATATGTATGAATAAAATAATTGTTAAATTGAAGAAATGAGAATACTAAATTTTTCAATCTATAATAAATTTAAATCATTTTTTTAGTAAAGTCCTCATTTTAATTAAATCACTTTACAGTTCTTCTTAATTTATACACTAAGTAAACTCTCCTAATTATTATATAATTAGAAACCATTTTTTTTTAATAATTCTTCCAAGAATGTATTTTTTTTCAACCAAGGCTCATAGTTTTATTAAATACTGCCTTCTTCTAAAGAAGCTTTTTTTGTTAAAGAATGTACATATTCTGGATCTTAATCAGATTAATCTGCTTAATCTTAATATATTATTGATTTTGTTGGCTATGACTACTTTTTCTTTTTATCTTTCTCTATCCTACACCAAGGACATTTATATTTGAAACTTTTATGTTATAATTATGATTCAATATCTGATACTTCACAATCAATATGTGTCTAATAAAATCTTGATAATTATTATACCCATTTCCCACAACGTTGATTATCACATTAAACCCACTTCTTTCCATCAAGGAAATTCTATTCATCATCTTTATAAACCTAAGCACAAAAGTAACAACACTTCCTTCTCTTGTAAAGTTCATAGCAAGTACCACATAAGAGGATGGTCGAATCTGAAAATTAGGCTACTTTCAAATCAAAAGAACTGGGGCAGTACTAATTGAAACATTATCTAACAGGCGGATACTCACCACTTGTTGACATTATTTCAATTTTTTATAATATTTATTATTTGCTACTCCAAATTATGGTAATAATATTTAATCTATACATTAAACAACATATATAAAGAATAAATAAACATTTAAATTAAAAAAGAAAATATACATATTCTCTCCCACTTAATTCTATGTTTAAAAAGAATATAAAAATTATCCTATTATTGAATGTCATAATCTCAACTTTTTTATTATTATTATTAAAAATTGTAAGAACACACAGGTCAAGGCAATTGCATTAAGTGCAATTATGACATTGAATTTTACAGATTAGGAATCTAGTTCCGATAGTGTATTTCTAAAATCATGAATTATATTACATACTTATCCGAATCTGATAGCTTCTCAATTTTTATGAATTTTTTAATCAACTCTTAGGCATAAAAATGACCATTCGCACAGAATACTATTCCTATTATTAAAGCTAATGCCTAATTTAAAGTAATTCATACTAAGGTTAGAATTATAAATGCTTAAGTCACAGCTATATTACTCCATTCTAAGGCTTATTATAATTTTGCCCTAGTTAAATAATAAACTTCAGGATCTTAATTGTTACTTATTATCATCTTGTAATCACTATCCCTTTTTTATTATAAATTACATCTTAAAGTATTCAACCATTCTTACAATGGCTATAAAGAGAAATATACTGAACGCAACTGCCTATTTATTATAGTTCAAATATTTACTTCTAAATATGGAATCTAAGAGGCATAGATTTCCCTTGTTCTGAAAAATGCTGTTCTACTAATGTCTAAGGACATCGATCCCAATTGAATTTTTAAACTAAGATCATTAGAAAATTATCGTACTCTATGCTTATACCAAATGCAACTATTGAAGTAAGAAATCCTACTACAGACACAATAGGTATTATAATACTCATTAAAATAATAATTATTTTTTAAATTCTTTTTTCCATAAATCCTTAATAAATTTTATTCAAGAAAACTTGAAGTCAATTATAGAGTATTTAGATTTATATATATAAAATAATAGAAATTCTGGAATAAAACTTAGTTTGAGTTGAATTTTTTTTATTATAAAATCTAGAGTACATTTTGATATGGAGCAACATTTATTTCAAGTTATTTATCTATAAATAATAATGAATGCAGCTTAAAATTTTTCTGATTGTTTTTAGATATATTTTTAGTACTTTAGAATTGAAATAATAATTTTTTTAGGATTTAATATAAGCTAATTATTATTTTATAAAAGCAAAAAGGATTTATAATAATAATTCTCAAATATTTTATAATTTATTTAAACAAATATTTAAAATCAATTTATGATATTTATTTATTCTCAATTCTTAAAAATTCATTTATGATTTTTATTGGAATCTATAAGGCACATAAAATTCTAATTCCTTTAATTTATTTGATATTATAAATATTATTAAAATTTCTGATATTTCTGAATACAATTGATTAGTATATAAAAAATATTATATAATTTATTATAATTAATTTTTGAATGAAAAAGGTGTTAATGCTTGTATTCAATATTTCTATTATTAGGATGGAGTAAATTTGTCAATTAATGATCTGAAGGAAATTTTATAAGGAAATTTAGATGTTGTTGTTGAAATATAAGATCATGTTAAAAACGTATTTATTTTAGTGGTATATTAGCATATACTTTAATCCAGAAATACTGTTGATATGATTGTGTAAAAGAAGATACCAATCTATGGAATTAGCACAGGGTTTGGTAAATTCAAAGAAGTAATTGTTATAATTTATATTCAGATTTACATTCCCCATTAAGAAATGGTTGATTTATAAAAGAACTTAATTATATCTCATGCTTCATGTGTTGGTGAACCATTAAAACCACATATAGTTTTGGTAATGATGATTTTGAGATTAAATTGTCTTATCAGAGGATTTTCTGGTGTAAGGATGTCACTGATTGAATCTCTATAACAAGCAATTAATAAAAAAATAATTCCAAAAGTTCCTTGTTAAGGCTCAGTCGGTGCATCAGGAGATTTGGCACCTTTATCACATCTAGCATTAGGACTTATGGGAATTGGAGAGATTTGGAATGATGGATAATATATAGCTGCAGATATGGCTTTAAAAATGCATAATTTTGAACCTTTAGAATTTATGGAGAAGGAAGGATTGGCTATGAATAATGGAACTTAAATGATGGCTGCAATAAATTTAGAAACTTTAATGAGATCATAATATGTTATGAATGCAGCAGATTTAGCCTTGGGATTAACAAGTTATGCTTTGTAAAGTAATAATTTATTTATAATTGATTAGCTAATTATCATTTCTTAAAAAATTACTCTATTAGTGATAATAAATCAAAAAATATTGTATTCAATTTAATTGGAGAATAATGGACAGATTAAATTAAAACTAATCCTAAAAGTATATAAACTGCATTTACTACACATTAAATTATTAGATAATCAATATAAGAAAATTTAAGAATTTTAGAAAGAGAGATTAATTCAACAAGTGATAATCCAATTATTGATAATGAACAACAATCTGCAAAATCTGGTGGTAATTTTCATGGAGAATATATGGGAATGTTGGCTGATAATATGTGTATAGCCTTACAAAGACTATGTATATTTAGTGAAGTAATAATATTATATTTATTATATATTAGAGAAGATAAGAACGATTGGTTAATTCAGAAATTGGAGATTGTGGATTGCCTATGTTTTTAACTGCAAAAGGAGGCTTATTAAATGGATATATGATTCCATAATATACTAGTGCTGCATTAGTTTCTGAGAATAAAGTACTCAGCCATCCAAGTTGTATTGATACAGTTCCTACTTCTGCCAATATAGAAGATCATGTGTCTATGGGTGCATATAGTGCTAGAAAAGGATTATAAATCATTTAAAATGCAGAATATATTATAGCAATTGAATTAATGTGTGCAGCTTAAGGATTAGAATTTGCAAAAATCTAATTACCACCTAAAATTTAAAGTTGTCTCAAATATATTAGAAGTATCATTCCTGATGTTAAGACTCAAGTAAATTATTAAAAATAATTTAGGATATTTTTATGAATTAATACATTGAAATAATGGCTAAGAATATTAGAGATGGTCACATTAATCATTTAATGGAAGAATTGTAATTATTATGAATATGCAATTTTTATTATAATCATCCTCCTATAAACTTTCTTGCTCTCGGATCATTAGTTAAATCCAATTCTTACTTTAAGGATTTAAACTATTTAATAATTTAACTCACCAAACCAAAGAACCATCCAGTTCCTAAATTGAATAAATTTTAAACTCCAGTTATAGACTAAAGTCTTAAAGACTAAAATAATATTTAAACTGGAACATTAATCAGTTAAAATACCATCCAAAATTGAATTCTTAAATATCCTATATTATTATTCTCTACAAATAAATAATTTTAGATAATTGATAAAAACTACATTATCAATTAATAATGAAGACCTGAAAAAAACCCAAAAAATCCTCTGGATTAATAAATATCTTTGAAACTATCAGTTATAAATAAATTCTTTGCTAATGCATTAATAAATATGACTGTCAAAGGATAAAATGCTACATGAAGTAAACACTTTTTGATATATTACATTTTGGATGGATAAGCATTTCTGTTAATTCTATTTTCTAACCATAAAGTTGGAAAAAGCAAATAAAATTAAGCTATTGAATTATGATCATCAAAAGCAGCTCTTATTGGTTTATTCAACCAAACTTGATAAGAGATATTATCAATTGGAGTTGATAAAAACTATAACATTTGATCACTACTTATATTATGAATTATTTAAAAAATAAAAATCCTTTTTTATAATAATAACAAAATTGTACAATGCGTATTTATATCCATATCCTATATTATTCTAATTAAAATTAAATACCTAATGATTAATAAATAAATTCTGAATAAATAGATCTCTTTTAGAAAAAATAAAATCAATTTTATTTTTTCATTAAATTATTTAAATGAGATGGTACCTATAAGGAGTAAAATAAAATGATGAATAGTACATAGAAATATTGTAAATTATTACAGTAACTATAATATATATTAAAGAATATTTACATACTCAGATATTATGAAGAAAATATATTATTGAGTTATTTTATTTAAACTTGGTAGTTAAGTTTTTAGGATTTATATCAAGTTCCTTTATTTTATTAGATAAAACAACTATAAGTGATATTGACATACTATTCACTCTCAAATAAACAAAAAATAAGACTAAATTATAAACAGATATTTGTCTTATAAAATACATTCCTTTAAGCATCTTCAGACTTAAAGAATAAATTTAATATAGTGATTAAACTAAATAGTTCTAATTACAATTGTATAGGAAATTAGTATCAAGAGATTAGATGAGAAGTAAATCAATAATTATTATGTACTTATCCATCATCTTAAAAAATTTAAATGCTAAAATAGCAGAAATTTTAAATTCGAATACTTATACCATTCAATTATTTGCATCTCGATAATGAAAAAGCCAATTCTTATAATACTTTTAGAATCTATTTTTTTAACAAGTTAGACTCTTCTATTTTAAGTAATTTCATTAAGAAATATATACTAGATACCTACTTTTTCGTTATAACTTTTAGTTTTTAGCAATCAATCATATAATAGTATTTATTTTTAGCTATAAGAATGAGAACTTTTAGGAATGTAGTGTACTAAGAGTTGTTGAGTTAAATAAAGTAATATAATGTAGCATTAAATTAAAGACTTTAAAATATGAATCTTTATTTTTGATTACAGATTCAGACTTAATAGGTAAAATTTTTGATTTAATGTTTCAATTTCTTTTACTTTATAAATTTTGATATTCAAAGAATTTTCCTTCAAATTAATTTAAACAACAAAAACCTTGTTGATAATATTATTTAAAAGATTTATTTACTTATTCTAGTTATATGTCAGTTTTAGAAATCAGAGTATATCAACAAAACTTAAAGGGTAGTATTAATAATTATAATTATATTATTATTCTTCATGTTTCAATTAATATAAATTTATTATAATCATGGGGGGATGTCCATCAAGATGTGAAGTTAAATGTGGAAATAGTTTCAGATATGAAGGAAGTACACTAGAATTAAACTTTGAGCAATAACCTAAAATTGTAAGAAATAAGGATAAAAATCGATCAGCTTCAAGTTCTCGTTAAGGAGAATCTTCAACTTTGCCTGCTACTAATTTTCGAAGAGAAATAGAATATTCAGATACTATTTTACATACATAATCAGATCCGAAAAATGAATTAATTGCTAGCAATATTGAAGTGGAATTACTACCTGTTTTTGTAACAACGAAATACATTAATGATTCAACAGTTTAATACAGATAAAATAGATTTATGGAAGATTTAGAAATTGAAGTCAAAGCTAGAATTTAAGAAATGTAATTATCATAATAAAACCAAATAGAAAACAACAAGAATAAGAAGAAAGATAAAGATTAATCATAAAAGATATTGTTTAGTAATAATTAGAATTTAAAAAATTGAAATCTGAATAAATCTCTAACTCAAAAAATAATTATTTAGAAAATTCATTAAAGTTTAATTAAACATAATAATTATCAATTAATAAGAATAATTCAAAAGAATCTAAAGATTCTTAATTCTAATCACTTTAATCTAGTTCATTGTAGTTGTCATCTGAAAAGTAATCCAATATTCCATCAATCAATAATAAAACAGATCCTCTTAAATATTCGACATAAAATTAACAACAAAAAATTAAAGCTTTTGAGAAAATCATAAGTAATTATTATTTAGAAGATAATACTTACTATAGCAAACAAAGAGGAATTCTTAAATAACATAATTATATTCCAATTTCATAAACTTCAAAAAGTTTGCCTAATAAATAATAGACAAAAACAAAAAAATACAAAAAAAAAAAAGTTCATTTTTCTTAGGATACCAATTTCAATTTTGAAAAAAAAAGTGAAGATAAAAAGTCTTCAAAAACATGGTGGAAATCTATTTTTTGATCCTTCACATTTTTATTATTATCTAATTCTATTATAATTTGAAAGAATTTAGACATTTTTGATTGTTTTAATTAGGATACTTTCTAAGAATGAAAATCAAACTTATAAATTATAAATTAAATTTACAAAATATCCAAGGAAATACTTTATAATTTGAATTTAATAATAATAGGTTATAATAAATATCAATCTTTTGCAGCTCTATAAATTTTATTGCATGCATCTTCCAGCAAACCTAATAAATTCTCTTGACTCTCTTCTCTTAATTTTTTTTCCTCTTCAATCTCACTTTTTACTCTTGAAACCAAATCTTTTAGCATTTCAAATATTGCAGCTTCAGATTCCTCTCTGTTTTTATTTTATATCATATATATATACCTTAATTTCTTTTAATTTGACAATCCTTCATTTAATCTCTTGATTTCATCTCCTGCCCTTCTTAAAGTGCCATTATCACTATCTTCTCTATCCTAACCTTCTGATTTCACCAAATCATATAATTTTGGTAAATCATTTTCTAAAGAATTAGTGATATTTTCAATTTATTCCTATCTAATTTTACTTTCTGTCTAAATATCTGATTTTAAATAGACAACCTATGTTTATTAAAGATTTCTACTTTTTCATCCAAGTAGCCTTATAATTTAAGATTACCATCCTTTCTAATTGAAATTTCTTATTCCAATTTAGTCGTTATACGACTTTCAAAAGCAGCAATTTCTCTTACTTTTTATTCAAACTGTGTTTCAAAAGCATTGTTTTCTTCTTCAATTTATTTTTATAATCTCACTATTTCATCCTTCAGAGAATGCTAAAATGAGATACAAATTTGTACCAATTTTCTGTTATAAGATGTAATTGTATCTTGAATTCTCTCCTCTACACCAGATACACGCCCACAAATAACATCAATACGATGAGCTTTGGAACTATCATGATGCATTTAGATTGAACTGAGTTTTTCAGAAATTTTAGCAAATCGTTCGTTGAATGGTGTATTTGGATTCATTTTTATTTATTTTATTAACAAATTTTATTTGTATTATTATGAATAAATAACAATGTAATTACCATTATAGTTTTAAATTTATCATTGTAGGTAATTCTGGAGTTGGGAAGAGTTGTTTACTCCAATAATTTATTGAAGGTTAATTTAAAAATAACATTGATTCAACGGTTGGAATAGGATTTGGATAGAAAGATATCATATATAAAGACAGTGTAATTAGAATAAATATTTGGGATACTGTAAACTTCTTAATATTATTTAGGCAGGTTAAGAGTCATTTAGGTCTATTACAAGAGCATATTATAGAGGGTAAAGAAAAGTAATTTAAAATTTAGATCTATTGCTTGTTTATTAGTTTATGATGTGACAAAGAAAAAAACATTCCATCATTTGATTAATTGGTTAAATGAGGTAAAGTAAGATTCATCAGCTGAGATAATGATTGTAGGGAATAAAATTGACTAGTGGGGAAGGGAAGTTTCTCAAGATGAAGGACTATAATTAGCCTAATAAACAGGTTGTTTATATTTAGAAACATCAGCAAGAACTGGGGAAAATGTTATACTTGCTTTTGAAACTTTAGTACAACGAATATATATGAAAATTAAGAATAAGGAGATAGATATAAATGATCCATAAAATGGAATTAAATTGGGATCAATGACTGAAGTATAACTAGTCGTTAATAAATCTAATGGAAATTAAAATTCTTCATGTTGCTGATGAATTTTTGATGTTTATTTTAACAAATGATTTATTTTTAAGAATTTCGCCAAAATATAGAATAATGAAGCAGCTTTAATTTAAAAATAAGAAATCATTTTTTATGACACTACTAATTAGTAGTAACTTATGCATTTAATTTTTAGTATTTATCAGATAATAGATTGTCTTCAATAAATTAAAACTCTTCTTCACTCTGATTATTACTCTTCTATTAATGAGGTTTTTTAAGATGATCAGGAAATGCTTAAACATTTATAAAGATTTAGCTTTCTTGTTCATCTGGAATTGGTTCTTACAATTCTTCACTTATTTCTTCATTTGACAGAGAGTAAATAATGCCAACTGAATTATAAATACTATTATTATAATTCCCACTTCCATAATTACTATTATTAGTTTAATTTGATTCCAATTTCATCATAGGAAGTTGTAATTGACTTGGTCTTGAATGTGTATTCTAATAAATGTTATTGTTGATATTTGATTAAAATTTTTCATAGTTTTTAATTTATGTCTCTTCAGGCTATAGAGATCCAAATCTATTCACAACAAGATCTTAATAATTATTTTATTAATCCCATTCGTATCTATTGTCTAATATTATATTTAAATGTTTTGCTGCTTATTGTAATAATTTAATTATTGTTTTATAATCTGGTTCAGTGTTGTATGTTAATTTTCTTAAATATCTATTACTATCTAAACTTATATTACTCATAAATTTTAATAAATTCTATTGGCAAATCTTTAAATAATACTTTCGGATCTGTTGTTTCTTTCAATTCCCCTATTTTTTAGGTTCTTTAATCATCTGGAATGTGTCTTAAATTCTGCCATGGTAAAGTACTAATCTAATGATCAAAACAATTAATACCCTTTTAAGCAGAAGATCATTACATAAAATAATGATTCTACATCATCCTTTCTACTTAATTCTTATCCTTTATGAGCAGCAATAGATGCATAACGAGCAGTTCCAACGAAAGGCACTTTCTCTTTAAAAGGTCTTGTCTTATATTAAAATATTATACATTAGGCCTCCATTTTTACGTTAAAATATTTTACTAATCCCAAAATCAATTAGATAAATAGCATTTTAATCATCCAACATTATATTTTCAGGTTTCAAATCTCTATGCAACACACCCTATTTATGTATTTCTTCTAAAATTGTGATTAGCTAAATTGTGATTTAAAGTATTGATTTTAAACTAAATTTTTTCCTTTGCTTTATTAAAGAGGATAAATCTTTTTAAAGTAATTCCATCACTATTGTATTATAGTTCTCATAAGATCCATAATACAGTAATTTTGGTATTCCCTTTATATTTTATAACCTTGATAAAATTTCCACTTCTCGATCTAATGAATGTAAATGTTCATTTTCTGGCCTTTCAATTTTTATGGCCACCAAATTACCATTTCTTTAATCAAATCCTTACATTACAATGCCAAAGGATCCTTACGAAATTCTCTTTTGTGTAAAGTATTGATTATTTATTTTAAGTTATCTCATACACAAATTTATATTAAAGAACCATCATTAATTTATGTTTTGAAACAAACTAAGAAAATTTCATTAGAATATTTTTTTATCTTTCATGAATAATTCAAACAACCTGAAACATATACTTTATAAACTATCATTTAGAATTGAAGTATGTTTTTATTTAATCATAAATATTTATTAGATATATTTCAAATATATTTATATACATCAAAATTACAAAAACAAATTTATTTAATTTTAATAAATTTTGAAATGAAAAGATCAATTCAAGTAAATAACATAAAATTCTTAAATTATATAATAAGACATGATATTTATGGTTTATTAAATTAAACAGATTAAATATTATTATTGTTTATAAGAAAAATATAAATTGAAACTTATTTGAAGAGACTTTTCAATAGAATTAATAAAAGTTATAAGTGTTTTTATAAACAAAAAAACATCCTCACTTATGGAAAGCATTTTTAGCTTAATCAAAAACCCCTTCTTATTTTTAAGCCTGATTTTAAGACTCTGTTTTTTCCAACTAATTTACAATTAATAAATATAAATACTTTTGCTAATTCTTGAAATATCTCTCTCTGTTTATCATTTAATTTAGTTGGTATTTGTATTTTGAAATTGATAACTTAATCACCTTTCTAATTTTAATTGGGTGCCAATTTGTTAATTCCCTTTAATATTTTTTAATTATATATACTAATCCATTTAATCTCATTTTTTCTCCATCTTAACATCCAGGTTTGATTGAGACCTATTTATCACCATTCAAAGTCTTAATTTTTATAGTATCTCCTAAAACTGCTTATGCAACAGAAATATAAGCATTAGTAATCAAATCATAACCTTCTCTTTTATAATATGGGTCAGGTTTGACTGAAATTTTAACAATAAGATCTCCTGATTTACCTCCATTTTCTCCTACATTTCCTTTACCTGTCACTCTCAAATTTTGACCATCAGCTATTCCCTTTGGTATATTGATAGTTTCATTAGTTGCCTATTTCTAAATACCAACTCCTCTACATGAAGTACCTATAAATAAATGAAATAGAATTGATACATGGATTTTTGATTGAGATTCCAGTTCCTCTACATTTGGTACATGCCATTTATATAGTCATAGCTCCTTATCTATAATTAATAGATCCTCTTCCTCCACAATGAGTACATCTTCCTGGGGCAGTACCAGGTTTACATTTAGTACCATTACATGTAGTACATGTACCAACTTTCTCAAATTAAATTGTCTATTGTGATCCTTGAATACTATCCATAAATGAAATTTCCATTTGGACATAAATATCAGCTCCTTTAATAGTTCTTTCAGCTTCTCCTCCCATGTTAAAAAAGGATGCAAAATCACCAAAAATGGATTCATCAAATTCAAATTCTTGTCCTCTACCTCCTCTAGCTCCTTATCTAAAGAAACTACTATAGGCAGCAAAAGGATCCTATGCTCCAGCCTAATCCTATTCATCTCCTGTCATTCCCACTTAGTCATAGACTCTTCTTTTATTATCATCTGATAATGTTTCATAAGCACTAGAAATGTAGAATATAAATATTACTTATTAATTTCAGCAAACTTTTCTTTGGCATCCTTAGATGGATTTGCATCTGGATGATACTTTTTGGCTAATCCATAATAGGCTTTTTTGATATCATTCTATGAAGCATTCTTAGGTACTCCCAGTAATTCTAAATGGTTAGATACATAATTACCATACAAATCTCTCTTAGATGAGAAAGAGAAAAAAGGAGTGAATGCAAATCTCCTTAAAACATTTTTAGTAAAAACTTGCATTGTTAACCGGAAATAAATTATTATTAAAATCACTATGTTATCATTTTCATAAATTCATTTAGTTATTCATGTTTACTAAATACTAATTCTATTGATTGATGTTTCGAAATTACTAAAACTAATGATTATTAACATTGTTTCACTTCCTTAATTTATTTTAAACATAAAGCTGATTCTTTTTGACCTAAATCATGAATAATTTTATTAGAATTATAGAATTCCAAACATTTCATCTTGTAATTATATTTTACAAATTTGCTTGAAAATGCTGAACATCCATTTTTATTAATTGTAGATTATTGTCTAAATGTTCTCTTTAATACTTTAAATATCTTTTCTCCTATAATTTATTGAGGAGGAGGTGATTTTTCCATTTGAAAATCTGGGAATCTTCTTGCAGAGGACTATAATAATCAAATCATTTTCATACATGTAAACTTAATGATTGCTCTATAGATATATGATGATTATTAGACTGAGGTGATAATAATGGATTTTTTTGAGATGTTTATGATGATAAACTAGTTTATTGTTTCAAAGCTAATTTAGTCTTAGAACATAATGGATCAGATGAACGATGTCCTAAAAAACTATAAGTAGATAGACTTCTATCTGTTGGTTCATTCATAAATAGTTATTTTTTGGATCTTAATACTGAATATTTATGAGTTGTTCTTTCTTAAGACATATCTATTTATATGGTTCCCAAAATACTCATATCTCTGGAATCAGAAGGAGGAATATTCTCTTTCTTTGTCTTCATAATCGATTCATTCAACTCAATTAAATATCTTGTTTACATTTAATCTAATTTTATATACAAATTTTAATACTTTCTTAATCTTCTAATTATTTAAGTTTCTATCTTAAATTTTCAACATTTTAATTATAGAGAATTTATTATTATTGATACTATTTTCTATTTTCTTCTATTTATTATTCTATATTATTATTAACTATGTTTGAATCGAGAATTAAAATTGGTAATTTTTGAGATTAAGTAGAAAATATTTTATAATAATAATCTTATTCTATGCCTATTGAATATTACAAATCTTTAATTTAAGAATTTAACTATTATTTCATTTACATTAGATTATCTTGTATTTATTTAATTTATGCTGGGAATGTAATTTCAAAAAGTGTTTTATTTTATGATTTCAAGCATTCAATATGATTCATTCTATCAAGGATCTACTACAATCTTTAAGCAGTTTAGTTTTATTCAAGAACAGGTAGATTAGATTCAAGTCTATTGTATTAGGTTTAAATCATAGATTATTCATACATAATTTAATGTATCTGTCTCTGTATATCTATAAGATGTGTTCTATTCTTAATTTATTATTTTTGTACTTATGTTATTTCAATTGGGATTCAATTTTGAACTTATAGATTCGTTTAGGTAATTCAGTTTTAAGAAATTACGAATACTCTATAATTTAAGCTTAATCTAAGTATTCTTAAAATATGGTACTATTGAATACTCTAAAATTATTATCATTTTCAATTTAACGAATATTTTCAATTATTACATTTTAATTTGTTTTAGAGTTCAACCCTTAAACAATTTTATCATTAATTAGTAATACTATATTGCAAAATAAATCTAATTATTATTCAGATTTCACATTAGTTACAATTAAATTGTAAAGTTAATCTACATTGAACCATGAAGATTATAAGCCTTTCATTTATTTTTCAATTTAAATTGATTTAAATTGCAAC